ATGTAATAAATCACTTGCAAATGTAGTTTTCATTGATTAATTAATTGTTTTGCTCTTATTTTTCGTTAGTGTTTATTGTATTTGGGCTTATTTGTTAACTAACAGCGATTTTAACCTAATAATTTAACTAGTTATTTTTAAAAAGTCTATCATTTCCCATTTAAAATCGAAAAAATCCAACCAAATATTACAAATTTTAAAATTTTAAGCATCAAAGCGTTAATTTGAAAGGGATTTTATTCGAGAGGATTAGTACAGCCCACCTTTACCCAAATGACGGTACTAGTTATCATAAAATTTAAATTATAACTTAATATTATATTAATGTAGCGAGTGAGGATGTTATAGAAAACTGGCAAATCAAATTTAACCCGTATGACGATAATAAGGATAGTGTAATCTCTAATGGTTTTTCAGAAACTATTATTCGAAGTCAATGGGTATCCATACTAGATATATTTAATTCTTGTTAAAGCGACACAACAATGTTCTGCGTTCATATCGTTATACAATCAGTTGACATAAATATTTTCTGGAGATGATCAAATTATATTTAAAAAATTTAATAAATTGTAACCGCTAATGACGATTTTTAATTTTTTGCATTTTTCCATAATTTTGAATTTTTTTTACTTATTTCCTTGCCTTTTTAATGATTTATTGTTACAACTTTTAGTAAGTTACATAAAAAAAAATGTAGGTACTACATTTCACAATTTGCCTATAATATATATTTTGTCCCAAAACGTATAAATTTGTATTTGTGTACCGTCAGCCGTAGCAGCTGAATCGCAAAAAAAAAAAGAAGACTTACATCATAAGTATACTCTAACAGCTGTCAACTAAGGCCACCGTTTGTTCGACTGTTTATGACAAATTTCAATATTTTACATAATTATCGTTACTTTTAGTAGTTAGCATAAAAAAATCAATTACTAAAGATTGCTCTGTATTTTCGGCAAAATATTCTTTATTTAAAAAGAAAATCGAGCGTATAAGTTTGCATTTAAGTTTAAAAAGTCCACCTTTTTTAGACCCCCAGAAAAAGTACTAAACGTTTTCAGCCGTTATTTGGCTACATTCGTTTACTTGGACTACTCTTTGCTCATCGATGATGAAAACAAAATAATATATATCAAGCTAAAACATACACCTTACAATATTATACAAGTACCTTCAAGTTTGCTACTAAGACCTGTAATTCTTGTAGTTTTGATAATTGGAGACACTTCAGTTTGTGTAAAAAAATGTTTTCAAAAAAATTAACTAACAGCAATGTTAACCTAACCGTTTAACTAGTTATTTTTGAATAAGTTATATAAAAAAATTTAAAAAAGAATAGTTCCACCACTTGATTTAAATTGGTCATTGATTAAAGTTCATAAATAATCATAACCTAATAAACTTTAAACAAGATTGTGAGTTCATAAAAACGTTATAAAAATAGAATTAGATTGAATTGTTAAAAAAATAATCTCGAAATTTATTACTGTGAAAGTAATTTATAGTTATAATAAGTAAAATACCAAAAATGACTTGTTAAGTTTGACTTTTCAAATTATCTTTTTACCATCGTCAAGACAGTTAAGCAAAAATAATATAATAATTATTAACTTCAATTTAAAACTTCTTCATGTGATATAATTGAGAAACATGTGAATATAGCATATGTTCAGTTTCGATGCAGAGCTGAGAAAGTATTTGGTTTTTACATGATGTGTTTTTTATTATTTCATTTATTTTTTGTGTGTTCAAGCTAATAATGTTTTAGTTAACAAGTATATAGATCAGATTTCGGACCTGAAAAGGACTTAATTGAGCCAAAAAAAAGTTTATTATTTCCCCTTTTCGATCGAAAAAACCCAACCAAAATAATACGTACTATAAAATTTATAGTTGAAAATGTTAAATTTTACGAATAGTTCTTTAGATAGGACACTATCGAAAAACGCTGACAATATATGCATATATATATTTTGCACATGAGTAAACCGTTTTAAAGGTGAATGAACTAAGTTCTTTTGAAAAATAGCAGTAATAAAGCGGGGTATTAAAAATATCATTTAGCGCAAATAAAATCGTTCTTGAACCTGTTGTTGTTTACTGCAAAACGCTAATCACAACTGAATAGTTAAACTTGAACTTGAAATTTCATTCCTAAAGTATATTTTCTCATAGAAGGTACTGCGGTTATTTGAAAAAGATAACTTGTGACAACCGTCATAGCGCTATTACTGTATTTCTATACATTTCAAAGCACTTACAAATCAGTTTTTACTTCCAAAAATAATATTACAATATTCTGCATCCGAGATTAACTTTTAAAAAATAAACATGCATTTGAAAAATATCATACTGTTTTTTTTCGTGACGTTGCACTTTTTCCAATGTCAGGGTAGCCCATCACAAGAACAACTTGTAAGTATAACGAGCACTTTATGCAGACAAAAATCCAGACAAAAACCCGTCTGGTAGTGTGGCGTTTTGATTTTGTTAAGCAAGACTAGGTTTTATGTGTAAATTATACTATATACATTTTAATGTTTAATTCTTATTGTGAAAATTATAGAACTTGATTAGACGCTTGGTGCCGGACCTTGTGGGGCAAGGCAGCATAGAGTTTATAACCGTAAGAGGTATATTTTGCATTGTAGCAAGTTTGCTCGAAAAATCTTATGACCAATCCACTCTCGATGAATTGGAAAAAAGTAATAAACATTGGAAAAATATTTAATAAATAAATAAGTTAAATAAAATGATCAAAAACTATTAAAATTGCGTTTTAACTGTCAAGTTTGTCATTTATATAATTAAATTAAATATAAATTAATGTTCTTAAACTGAAAAATCGTAACTCGTGAACCAAATAAAAAAACAGGAGACATTTTTTTTTGTTAATGCACAAAAAAATTTAGAAAAAGTGATATAAATTACCTAATACATTTTACTTTGTACTTTTAGTTGAGTATTCAAAGGACGACGTTATAATCTACGCCTTAGCGTTTGTAGCTTCAGAAAATCCGACCATAGTGGTAAATAAAAACTATAATACTATAATACATATTAAAAGTTTAAATCTTATTCTGAAAACTTTAGCGCTCGGTTGATGTGATAATCGCGGCACATGTGGACCCAGATGAAGACATAGGTCTCGAAAAATTACAAGACTTACTTACCGTAATAAAAGATGGAGCAGACCCTTCGCAAACGTTCCCCACAACTGTATTAGACTACATTGTAAACGCATTGAAAAAGACTGCATATAGTAAGAAACAATAAAAAATATTTAATACATATATGTTTAGTAAAATGTTATTGAAAAGACATTTTAAGAATAAAGTGTGGCAATTGCATAAATTTAAATAATTACATTATACCTGATCATTTATTATTTAAAAATTCTAAATTTACTAATACTGTACAATATTTACTATTACATTATTATTCTAAAATTATAAAAAAAATTGAAATAAAGAGGTCTTTCTAGTGTAACTGTAACACATTATTTTTCTCAACTCATTTGGCCTGATTGGTTTGTTTAAAAAATATAAATCACTTTGTACTTTCAGACCGTTTATTTTCAATTTATGATGTTAAAACCTACGCCTTAGCGTTTTCAGTTTCATCAGATCAGAACCTAATGGTAAATAAAAATTATAATACTATATTATACGAGTACAGATAAAAGGCTGGTTAGGATGTTTGTGTGGAGATATTCTAAATATTCAAACATGCAATTCTTCTATGTTAAATAGGTTTAACTTTTTAAAATTTTTAATGTCTAATTAATATTGTTATAACAATAGACTATCGTACAAGACCTCGTGCAGGCTAATGGAAATCCTAATGGCATGGGCTATGAAGCGTTCAAAAATGTAATTGAGGAAGTAAAACTGGCAAAGCACATAGAAACACCAGTACCCACCTCTGATGAATTCGAATCGGCTTGTTTAAGTAATAAAACTATAGAATAATATTCAATAAATGGGTTGAGCAAAATGTTGAAAAACTTCAATGCAAAGAAATTTTAATAATAAAATTTGTCATTTATATAGCTGTAAATCAATTAATTTTTTTAACACTAAAATTACTTAACCTAACTCGTGAACCAAAAAAGTTTTAAAAAATGAGGAACTTTTTTTAAAATGTATTATTCTTAAGCTACAATTATTAAATAAAATTGTTTTTCTAGTGTAGCACATTGTCATTCTCAACTCATTTGACTGATTCGTGTGTTTAAAAAATGTTTAATATTTTGTACTTTCAGGCCACAAATTCACTGTGAACGGAATTGAAAATATGATCATTGAAAAATTATTTCCTTTAGTTTGAATATATTATTAACTGTTATTAAATCAGTCCTTGTATGTGGTAAATCACTTGCAAATGTAGTTTTCATTGATTAATAAATTGTTTTGCTCTTATTTTTCGTTAGTGTTTATTGTATTTGGGCTTATTTGTTAACTAACAGCAATGTTAACCTATAATAACTTAATTAGTTATTAAGTTTATCATTTCCCATTTAAAATCGAGAAAACCCAACCAAATATTACACATTTTAAAATGTTAAGTTGAAAATGTGAAATTATACAAAATATTCTTCAGATAGGACACTATCGAAAACCGTTGACAATGTATGCATATATATTTTGCACATGGTTAAACAGTTTTAGAAGTGAGTGTACTGAGTACATCTAAAAAATAGCAGTAAGAAAGCGGGGTATAATAAAAAGACATTCAACGCAAATAAAAACGTTCTAGAAACGGTGTTGTTTACTGCAAAGCACAGCCCAATTCCTAAAATTGAAACTGTTTTTAAATCTGAAGTATATTTTCTTATAGAAGGTACTGCGGTTATTCGAAAAGATAACTTGTTACAACCGTAAATCATAGCTATTACTGTATTTCTATATTTATTAAAGTACTAACAAATCAGTTTTTTCCTCCAAAAAATAATAATTAAATATTCTACATCCGAGATAATCTTTCAAAAAATAATCATGTATTTGAAAAATATCATACTGTTTTTCTTCGTGTCGTTGCACTTTTTCCAATGTCAGGGTAGCCCATCACAAGAACAACTTGTAAGTATAACGAGCACTTTATGCAGAAAAAATCCAGACAAAAACCCGTCTGGTAGTTTGGCGTTTTGAATTTGCTAAGCAAGACTCGGTTTTATGTGTAAATTATAATATATACATTTTAATGTTTAATTCTTATTGTGAAATTATAGGAATATATTAAAAATGCAGTGCCGGACCTTTTGGAAGACCAGGTCATAAACTTTGAAACCATAAAAACTACATTTAGCATTGTAGCAGATTTGCTCAACAAATCTTATGACCAATCCACTCTTAATGAATTGGAAACAAGTAATAAACATAGGAAAATTATTCAATAAATAAAAACGTTAAATAAAATTATGAAAAATTAATGAAAAGACATTTTACCAATCAAGTTTGTCATTAATATATTTTTAATTGAATATTAGTTCATGCACAAAAAAAAAAATTAGAAAATGTGATATAAATTATTATATTTTAATAAAAATTTAGAATTTAATATGACGTCATAATTATTCTTAAATTACAATATCCTAAAGTACAAGTGTTTTGCAATTTTGAACAAGTTAATATTCTCAGTTCTTTGCAGTTGAAAAATTTCCCTATAATTTGGTTGATTAAAAAATGTATAATACTTTGTATTTTTAGTTGAATATTCATTGGAAGACGTTTTAACCTACGCCTTAGCGTTTGTAGCTACAAAAAATCAGGTCTTAACGGTAAATAAAAACTATAATACTATTTTACAGATTAAAGGCTCGTTAGGTTAGGTTTGTGTGGAGGTTAAAAGGTTTAATTCTTATAAATAAAATAAGTACTATTAGTATTTATGATTATAAAAATTGTTCAGATTTATGTTGTTAAATACAAAATGTAAATTGTAGTTTAGTAAATTATTTCATTTGTTTACGGTCCCAATTTTTTATTTCGCTAAAGAAGGCTCAGTTTTATGTGTGAATAATAGTATGCACTTAAAAGTTGAAATTTTATTCTGATAACTTTAGGACTCGGTTGAAGAGATAATCGCGGATCAAGTGCACCAAAATGAAGGCATAGGTATCCAAAAATTAAAAGATGTACTTCTCATAATAGAAGAGAGCGCAGACAGTTATCAAACGTTCCCCACAACTGTATTAGACTACATTGTTTATGCATTGAAAAAGACAGCATATAGTAAGAAACAACAAAAATATTTAATACATATATATTTAGTAAAATGTTATTGAAAAGACATTTTAAGAATAAAGTGTGGCAATTGCATAAATTTAAATAATTACATTATACCTGATCATTTATTATTTAAAAATTCTAAATTTACTAATACTGTACAATATTTACTATTACATTATTATTCTAAAATTATAAAAAAAATTGAAATAAAGAGGTCTTTTTAGTGTAACTGTAACACATTATTATTCTCAACTCATTCAACCTGATTGGTTTGTTTAAAAAATATAAATCATTTTGTACTTTCAGACCGTTTGTTTTCAATTAAAGATATTAAAACCTACGCCCTAGCGTTTGCAGTTTCATCAGATGAAGACCTAATGGTAAATAAAAACTATAATACTATTTTATACGAATACAGATAAAAAGCTGGTTAGGATGTTTGTGTGGAGACATTCAAAATATTCAAACATTCAATTCTTCTATGTAAAATAGGCTTAACTTTTATAACTATAACAAGTCCCTAGCTAGTATTTGTGATAATACAATTTTTTCATATTTATGCTGTTATATACAATATGCAAATTATAGTTTAGTAAACTAATTTTATGTTTAAAATGTTTTATTTAAAAAAAACCTCAAAGCATATAAAATCATGTCTTGATGTTAGCCATTTTTATTTCGCTAATAAAGTATTAGTTTTATTTGTAAATTGTTATAAGCTTTTTAATGTCTAATTAATATTCTTATAACAATAGAATTTCACAGAAAGCCTCGTGCGGCTTAATAGAAATGGTGATGGCATGGGCTATAGAGCGTTCAAAACTGTAATTGAGAGAATAAAACAGGCAAAGCACATAGAAACACCAGTACCCACTTATGATGACTTCGAAGAGGCTTGTTTAGGTAATAAAACTATAGAATTATATTCAATAATGTGTTGAGCAAAATTTTCAAAAACTTCAATGCAAAGACATTTTAATAATAAAATTTGTCATTTATATAGCTGTAAATCAATTAATTTTTTTAACACTAAAAAATCATTACTTAACCTAACTTGTGAACCAAAAAAAGTTTAATAAATGGGGTACCTTTTTAAGTTACAATTAATTAATAAAGATGTTTTTCTGGTGTAGCACATTGTCATTCTCAACTCATTTGAACTGATTTGGTGTGTTTAAAAAATGTATAATATTTTGTACTTTCAGGCCGCAAATTCACTGTGAACGGAATTGAAAATATGATTATTGAAAAATTATTTCCTTTATAGTTTTATTACATTGTTAACTGTTATTAAATCAGTCCTTGTAAGTAGTAAATCACTTGCAAATGTAGTGTTCATTGATTAATAAATTGTTTTTTTTGCTCTTATTTTTCGTTAATGTTTACTGTATTACTTTTAAGTATTATCTATTTCCCAATCTCAGCGGCTCAATACCCGGCTGTTCAGTTAATCAATAGTCTTAATTATTTAAAATTAAAGTTTAAAGAAAATATATGTACTCTATTAGCGATGTTTCTCGAATCTGAGAGAGAAGAATAACTGAATATTTTTATTGTAACTTGCTATAACTGAATGAAATCTGTAAACCATCATATTTTTCGCATAGTGTAAACAGTCAATTTTTGCTTAGGAAATGAATAAATGTCAAAAAATTACCAGTTTAGTAAAAAAAAAAAGCCGTCAAATGCGAGATGAAATACTTGTAAAGCATAATGCCATTATATCATTAAAAAATAATAACGAAAATCAACAGTAAGCGACTAGCGGTTTTATCTGCACAAGAATTATGACGTTATCTTAGATTTTCTGGATTTGCCGCCAATTTTCACCAAGGAGTTACGATATAAAGTGATAAGACGTTGCAAGGAGTATAATAAGTTATTATTATTTGAGGTTAGGTTCAAAAAATCTTGTGCGCATTGAATGTAAACATTACACTCGGTTAACAGGTAAACTGTAAAGTATAATAAATAATTATTAGGTATCTCATCTCTATTCTCCTGTGTGTTTGTAATACGTACTTTAGGTGGTAGTTTAAATGATTTGGGAAAGTTTCAAAAGGTTTTAGTATAAAATAAACAACACCATGAACATCTCCATAAGACTGGCTTCGGACAAGACCAGACACGGTGTGTTGAAAGACAATTCCAGTGCACCAATAATATTCACTCCGGGTGAAAAGATTCGCGAAAAAACTGGATTTATGAGGTAAACGTTAAATTTTTTTTGTCGCGTTAACAGATATTTCTTTACAAATTTCTACATTGACATGTAGAGGCCATGGGACGTACGTATCAGGAGATTACCTCAAAGCTACTGTGGCTGGCGTTGAACAAAACATCAATAAATTAGTTACCGTCAGTCCGTTGCGGTGTAGATACAATGGAGAAATCGGTGATGTAGTTGTTGGCCGTGTCACTGAATTGGTACACAAACGTTGGAAAATCGATATCAACTCGAGATTAGACGCTGTATTATTATTGACGTCGATTCAATTACCCGGCGGAGAATTAGTGAGTGCAAACTTAATTTTAAATTGAAACATATATTAATTATGTCTGTAGACAGCTCATTTGTGTACACCTAAATTATTGGCAAAAAATCTATCAACGACAATAGAATTATTTAATCTATTTTTTATTATTAATCTATTAGAGAAGAAGAGGAATGGAAGACGAACAATCTATGCGAAGTTATTTGAGTGAAGGAGACCTCGTGAGCGCTGAAGTCCATTCAATGTTTGCCGACGGATCGTTGTCGCTACACATGAGGAGTTTGAAATATGGCAAGGTATTGCTCAACTCTGGGCGTAATATTATTAATGCTGTGTGACAACACAATATCGGACGTTGTGTCGTTAATAATTATTGACATCAGATAATAAATTACAAATTTCGTAGTGGCTAGCGTTCGAGTTCACGATTATAAATTTCACTTCTACAAGATATGTGTATTATAATTATTTGTTTTAAATGTTGCTTATGTTTTTGTTATAGTTGGAGCAAGGAGTATTGGTTAAAGTGCAGTCAAACCTGATTAAACGTAGTAAAAATCATTTTCATAATTTGTCCGCTGGAGTTAGCGTTATTCTTGGCAACAATGGTTATGTATGGATTGAGCCGACGAGTGATTGCAAAAAGGATCCTGGCGGTTTCGAAGTCGATCTTCAAAAAGTATTATACACGTGTTGCACATAAATGGATTACATTTTTAATTATTGTATTTTTGCAGGTGGTCGAAATTGGTGATAGACAAACAATATCTAGAGTGCGTAACATTATATTGGCATTATCGTATTACAAAATGTTGATATACGACACGAGTATACAATACGCTTTGGAAGAATCAAATAAATATACTGTAAGTAAAATATATTTTGTAGGTACCTGTTTTTTATCAATTGGATTTAAAAACGTTGTAAACTCTTCGTGTATTGCGTTACACTTGACATGTATAATCGTCTGTGAAATGTGTTTTAACGGAACACTAATTTCTTAGCTGGTAATATAGTTTTAAAAAAAATTACTTTGAATGACAGTATTTTGTTATTGTAAAACTTAAACAATTTAAATTGATTAGAATTTATGTATAAATAAAATTAGATTTTTTCGACAAATTCTAATTAGAAAACATTGCCTTGGACTAAAATTATTTCTTAAGTAAAAACACATTGATAATTCCAAAATAAAACAATATCTTATTCGGACAATATGTTTTTTCTCCTATTGTGTATTATTATACAGAAAAAAAATATTTTCCCAATTTTTAAACATCACAAGTTAATATTGCCCCAAATAGTTATTATTCTAAATTATTGTTATTTCAAGTATATATTTCCTAAAAATGTATTGTTCAGATTAATTGTGTTTCAATGAAATAAAATAAAACTAGAGTCGCTTTTAAAAATATATTTGGTAGGTATAATTTAAAACTGTACCCACAAATTAATATATGAGAATTTACGTTTGTCAGCTCTTGCGTAAACTGTACTAACGCTAAAGTTGGCAATATAGTTTTCAAAAACCTAATGCTATTATATTGTATACATTTTAATGTGGATACAGTTTTAAATTTAATTATATCCATAAAATACTTTCTATTACAATTATTGATATAATTACACTTTTCCATTTAAAAAGAGGTTTTATTTCTTTTCTTTTTTTCAATCTCAATTTTCAAAATCAACTGTATATTAAAAAACCGTAAAGATTGGATAGTAGCAAAGAAACAAAACAGGATAAGATTTTACATTAATAAATACAATTTGATTCATATTAGATTTTTCAACTTTATGACTATAACAAAGACATTTTAAAAATGTTAAAACTCTGATTTAAATACACGGTTGACAACAAAAAACAAAACGACCGTACTTAAGTAGATCTTATTAACTATTTCTCCTACGTGCATTCCCTGTTTATATTTTTTTACATTTTTTTTTTTTTTTTACTCGAATAAAGTATACAATGCAATGTATATTATTATATAATAATATTGTTATTGAAATCATAACCAACCAAGACAAGTGTATATTTGTTTTTACTTGGCACAGTAATTCTAAAAGAAAAGAAAAAATGTACAGCAGTTACCGCTTACAACTGCATTTGGTCACAGTTATCAAATGTATCTTATGTTACAGAAAATACTATTATGGCTTACAATTTTTAATAATAATAAAAAAAAACAGAACATTAGTTATAATAATAATAATAATAAATATAGATAGGCTAGCCCTTGAAATTTTAATTTTATCTATACTCACTATGAATTTAAATAAGAGAGCTTATATGCCTATAAAATTAATAAATATATATATATATATATTTTTTTTTTTTTTAAGGTGGCAGACTTGTTAACCGCCGAAGCCTGTTACGACGTCGTCAATCTTACGCGCTACCGATTACAAGCCATGGATGAATAATTTATTTGAAAATTGAAATTGTGTATAGCAGAAAATATGTCGAGAATTTTTTTTTTATTTAACGTACCGGTGATAAATATGATAAAAGATATTCAGTGATATGTTTTCTAAAAATTAAAAATATTTGTATACTTATATAAAAAATAAATTCATTATAAAAAGAAGAAATTTGTGGACAATATTTGTAGAGTACATTGCGAATGCGGTTAGACAATGAACTGCGTTTGCCATAAATTACCTGTTCGGGTTTTTTTCCCCCAGAAGTGTGTTGCAAACACCCTGTCGTTAGAAATCGTTCATACATATAATTTATATAATAATACTCGACGGTTACGTAACTTGTACGTCTGCTTTTTCTAACTCTATATTTAATAAAAACTTCAATCGAATAATATATACCGAAAAGAACAAAAAAAATTGTTGCGTTATACACGTTTAAAAATTCTTATTGAGCATTAGGCTAACATTACAACAAATCATCATTTTCCAACTATAAATACCAAAAAAATCTGTATGTAATACCTAAGACGTATAAACATTTATCAAATAATTGTGTTCCCGTTGAGAGGTTAATTATTATATTATTTCAATAGTAGCTAAAACATTAGCTTATAAATTTAACTGGCTATAATATCAATATAATAATGTAAATGTAAAAATAAAAAATAAATTACTAAATTATACACCTAACTATTAATACGTACGATAAAATCAATGTCTAAAAAAACCGTATTGGTGACATTATACAAAACGCAAAGTTTGTGAGCGTAAAATCAATGTGACAAATATTAGAAAAACAAATTTAATTACGCAGGAACTAATGTTATTTTTTTTTTTTCACGTGCTAAGAGCGGTCATCACAAAACCGCTCCGGTTTAATTGAAAAACATGCCAACAAAGATATACAAATTTACTTAACTACGATAACAAAAATCAACTGTGTTAGAACCGTTAACCGTTAATTAATAATAAATAATTGTATAAACACTAAAATTATTACATTATATTAGTATATATATATATATATAATATACGTACGTAACTCGACTATAAAAACAAAAAACAAAGGTTACCTGTAGCCATGTGTTTGAAAAATATAATTATTGACTAGGTAACTACAATGTTCAGCAAAATAATTATTTACACAGTGCAACGTACAATATATTTTATCTCAATAAAACAACGGAAAAAAAAAACACCAGTTTTTTTAAAAGTTTAAAAAATCTTAAAATGTTTCCGTGAGTTAAATTAATAAGCTCCGTACATATCTACAATCTATCTATACGCTGTAACTAAATATAATTTTAAAACAATAATAATATAGTATTAAACAGCAATTTTTGTACGGCTTTTAAAATGTATCGGATATTTATTTTATAGCATAACAAATATTGTATTAAATTTAATGAGTTTTTTTAAATTTAGAATCATTTTTCATAATGAATGACGCGAACGATTCATTTTATTGTACTTTGGTATACGTATTTGTTATTATTATTCTTTTTTTAAAATAGCGTTTGTCAGCTTTTACGCGCCAACAGCAATATTTTAACTACACTACCACGGTTACCGTAAAACTACCAGGGTTACCATAACCGCGGTCGCTTCATGGTCAATGGTCGGTAATAACGAAAAGGGGCAAAAGTGAAATTTTATTCAGACTGTTGTAAATTGGTTTAGAGGTTGTTTTTTTAAACTTAATTAATGAATTTAAATTAACCCTATCCGTTTGTTTAATATAGTTTTTGTTTCAACTCGATGATTTTTTACATTTCTTCGTTGTAAAAACATAGCATGTCAACCTCTAAACACGTTAAATTTCAATTTTAATACTTGCCATTTAACATTAACGGTATCTTTATAATTAATTATGATGGAATTACGGTTTTTGTTTTGTGGGCAAGTTTGGAATATATTTTACAATTCAGTATAAATTATTATGTAAATTGTGAATATTCTACATGTATTTTAATCAATTGTATTAGTTGAATTATGTTGTGGATAAAAGACAAGAACTCCAAAAACGACACTTTTCAGAAGGAGCAACTTTTTTTTTTTGCTAATTTTATGCTGCTGAACGATTATTTTTACCTGTCGATACTGCACTTTAATATATACATGTATATATAAATACATATATTATTTGTTAGAATTTTTAAAAGAAGTAAAACAGTAAGTCTACCTCTTTTCAATAAACTAACTATTTTTAATCTTCTAAAAATTCTGATAAATAATATATGTATATTAAAGTGCAGTATCTCTTACTACAGATAAAAATATTGTGTCAAATGTGTGCATTTTTTATTCAGTAGCATAAAGTTATTTAAAAATCATGAGTTTGTACCCTAGTTTTTGGATAGGATTCTTTTAAAAGTAAAACAACTTTTTACTCATTCTGAAAAGGGTCATTTTTGGAGTTCTTGTGTTTTTTTCTTAGTACAACAAAATTCCACAGAAAATACAATATGTATCGACCAAAATTTGACTTGCCCGATTTCGTTAAAACCGTCCATTTATTAAAAAAGTTGTACTTTGTATTAAAGCGGTAGGCAAGCCTTTAATAATTCTACGGTGCTTCTGCTGTTTATTATCACAACGATGGTTATTATAATAACATAAAAACAATTTGTATATTTGTGATTATTAATTGAAGTTTTTGTCTCGTTAAAATGATTATTCGATTTTCGTTTTTTGGCCCTTTTTTTTTTTTTACACGTCACGCCGACTGTGATTCAACATCGCTCTCGCTCTATAAATTGTACTAATCTAATAATTATTGGTGTTGTTAAATTCAGCGTTTCTCAGTCTCTAAAAACGAAATGAAAGTAACGATTTTATACGATTTATATATATTTTTTTTTTTTGTTCTCTCTCACTGGATTACAATAATTATACACCCGGCGACGATTTTTTTGGTACTAACTTAAAAATATAATTTAACATTAACTATCGTTAACTATGTTTGTTTTTATTTTCTTTTGTTTCAAACTAAAATAATATAAGACGTACGATGATGATAATGTTAATAACAACAAAATGACCGAATCCGATGAGCGGCAGTAGTACCAACTGTTGTGTACTACATGAGCACGCACTTTTCCCGGATCTTGCGGCCGCGCATGGACTTCTTCTCTGGCTGCAGCGATATGTTCCTGTTCTTTTCCAAATTGAGCAGCTCCTGAAACAACTCCTTCACGTTGTGGTTGGTCTTGGCCGACGTCTCCATGAAGTGACAGCCCCACCTCCGGGCCTCCGCGTCGCCGTCCTCGGCCGTCACTTCCCTCGTGTCGTTCTCGTCGCACTTGTTGCCCACCAACATGATCGGTATGGACGACAGCTCGGCGGCTCCCTTCGTCTCTTTGATCACCTGCAACCGCGTGGTCGTGTATGAAAATAAATCCATAATACAATCAAAAACGATGGCGGGGTTTCAAAAAATGTAATTTATGTGCGTTCTTGTGGGCGATATTCATAAAAGACTGATTTTAATTTGTGAGAGGAGACGAGGAGAAGAAAACGAAAGTAACGGGCGGGTAGAAGTGGCAAGTGAGAAAGGGGGGGGGGACGGGACTCTAAATCAATTGATCGTAGGACGTTAAAAAAAATTAATTTAGATACTTCCTAAGACTCGTCGATTCCACACTGGTTTTTGCAATAGTTCACTCAATTGGATTTGCTTGAAAAAAATATTGGCAATCGAACAATTTTTCTATTTGTTGTTTAACTTAGAGTAGGTTGCTATTAGGATTTCTTACACTCAGCTTCGTTCTCGAAAAGCACATATTATTTGTAGTGATGAGAGACAAAGGGTATAAGTGATTTTTATACTAGTTTGCAGCAGTGAAAAGTGAAAAATATAATTTATATGTGTTCTTATGAGCGATATTCATAAGATTTGATGAGACTGATTTTAATTTTTGGCATTGAACCACATAAGGCATTCATGTCAATTTGTGTGGACCTTTTCACGTCATAAAAGTGAAAAGTGAAAGGAGACGAAGAGAAGAAAACAAAAGTATGAGGTGGGTAGAAGTGGGAAGTGAGGAAGGGGACGGATGAGACTCTAAATCAATTGATCATAGGACATAATATTCATGGACTAATGTATTTCCTTCGTGGGAAAGATTGATTACATTTTCGGATTGACCCATCTAAAAGACATATTCCTGCCAATCCATTTGCTACTGCAAATGAAGTCTCCTACAGTCTGTCTATGTCTATCACGGTGGTAAGGTAACACTGAACTCAGTATATGGAATGCCACCAGTAGGAGGCTGTCATTTTGTGTCAACAGTTATTGTTTTGTCTGTGATGTTTATTGTTTTTTCTATGATTTAACAAACAGGGTGTATCAAAAAGAGTGGTGGGGTTTCAAACGGCTGTAGGTTGTGAAGTATTGCACCTACAGCGCTCTGTTTGGACTTAAATGAAAGAGGGAGTTGTCAAGTTTCGAATGATTGCCACTAGATGTTTCATAGTCGTGACTGAATTACGCTTCGCGAACTCGATCACTTCTCTTGTGATGACGCCATCTTAACAAACTGAACAATGAAGGATGGCGACATAAACGAGAACGTGGAGAGACGTCTAGTGGTAGTCATTCGAATCTTGACAACTCCCTCTTACATTCAAGCCCTACCAGAGCGCTGTAGGTCCAATACTTCACAACCTACAGCCGTTTAAAACCACACCATTCTTTTTGATACACTCTGTATTATTATAAAAAAAAAAAAACTCTAGTAGGTACTTATAATCTGTCTCACGAGAGAACGGTACTGCGCAGAAACCTAAACGCACACCAAACCCCCCCCCCTTGGACCACATGGACCTGAGAAAAGTAGATGAACTTTTACACACAGCTTTTTCTTAAACATTTTTATATTATTAAATTTGATACATTTGCAAATGACATAACTTATTAGTTATTTAGTTCAAAAATCTTTTTCTCCTTTACTAGTTATCGCAGAACTTAAATTTTGGTAGACTACTCTAAAAATCCATCAAATGTATTAGAAGTGCTACGAAGTGCTATAAAAACGACTTTCCAAAATATGTCTATAAACTTTTGAAAATCGTCACAACTTTACCTATTACAACAGCTACTGCAGAAAGGTAATTTTCGACGTTTAAAAACCTATCTGAGAAATACCATGTCTGAAAACCGTTTAAATGGATTAGCTCAGATGAATATTAATAGAAAAATTGAAATTGAACACGAAGAAGTGTTTGATCAATTGGCTAAGAATAAAAGAAAAATTGATTTAGTATTGTAAAATCATTTTACCATACATATTAGCAATATAATGTATAATTACTTGTTACTACTTGCTACATACAAAAAGGGGCGGATAGGTAGTTTTGTGCATTAACCACTATATGCAATATTGTTTTAATATATATATACCACAAAAATAGGATAGAAAATCTCTTTTGGGAATAGAACTGTGTCGTATTATCTCCTGCTATAATTTAATAATAATATATTATTATTATTATTATTATTGTGTTATCGAGAACCTTATAAGAAGTTTGTTTGCCGCCGCCAGTGTAAACGGTATCCGCAAACAGCATTTGCGGGGCGGCGAATGGGAAAAACTTTTTTTCTTCCCTTAATGTGATCGATAAACACTGCCAGTATAATATAATGTAATAGGTATCTCGTGTGTTGTGTTTACACTGGGATAAAGTTTGCTTGGAATAAAATCGGACACCGACGCGTATCGAATTAATCCAGAAAACTTATATGGGTACTCCCTTTCTCTCTCTCTGGAATTTTGAACAGGGCCGCCGGCGGTATCCTCTACACAACGTGTGCCTCTTGTGTATTAAAACTACAGGACTTTTACTTTTCTTATTTTGCCATAGTACCTAGTATACTAATACACGGGTCGTTAAAATGTATAACCAAACCCCCCCCCCCCCCCAAACCACTCGACCGTGTAATAGGTAATTATATTTCAATCTTATAAACCGGGATGGAAACAATAATGTAACAACGATAATTTATAAACGATCACATATATATATATATATATATATATATAACTAGATTGCTAAGTGGTGTACATGCTGCCAATAGAGATAATATTGAAGTTACCATTTCCCACGCCATCTTTGTGGGAATTAGAACCTTATCACATGTTTATAACTGTTATCACTGTTTATAACAATTAAAAGTTAAGTTGATAGCACAGAATCACAGATATATAATATATATATATATATTATTTTATACACACATAAATCCCACAAAAATAGCCGACGTCGACTTCGATTCTTATCACTAGTTAGTTTATTATATATTAATCTGTGTAAATTATAGTGTAGTATTATCACCTATTATCAAAGACCTTGTGTACATGATGATTCATTAAGGATAATACCCATTTCCTCTTAAGACAATTGCAATTTCGTTGTTTCTCATTTTAGAGACACTTTAGTGTTTTGTTATTTTTCAATATTAGACAAAATTCAGCTTTCTATCTCAATTATTTTTTACCAGACCGCTTGCCTAACCTAACTTTTAATATTAAAAACTCCACCCTTTACGTAGATAATTTTCAGATGTACCATCCATGTGTTCAATGAACACATTTAGGATACGATTTCAGCATGGTAAAAAAAAATTGAAAACAATCTTAAACCATTTAATGGAGAAATGGACACATCTGAAAATTATCCACTTAATATTTCAATCCATGAAAGTTTTAACACATTATTAACTCCATCCTTCATCCTGTCCTAAACTTTAAACTTGTAAAACTTAAATGTAATTATTAAAAAACTGGTTATCGATTAGTTGACATTTTCAGTCAATCATTCTTAATTTAAAAAGTTTGTCAAATAAATACGTTATCATTTAAGTTACAAAAGTTGATAGAGTTCAGGAAAATACTAAAAAAGGTACACGTTAAGTAATTGAATATAATATCGTAAAATAACCTTAGTAAAGTTTTTTTTTGCTTATAAATTTGTGTAAAACAAACATAATCAGTTTTTTTTTTTAAGAAAAACTACAAAATTGTAAATAATTTTTACAGACATTTATACATTAAATGAATCACTCTGTGCACGCTATTTCTGTCGGCTAAAAGCATACTTTTATAATCCGTCATGTTCATCCCTTTGAACAGCTCTCAGATAATATATATTTAACACGCATGCACGTTACCTATATGGTTTATTATAACCAACATAATATATCCTACCAGTTTAGCTTGATATGCCGCATTAATATTATGTTTCAAACTCCGCCGACCGTTGAACCCAACTGAAAATCGATCCACAGTCGTTTATAATTTGCAGTTCATACTTAAAGTATTATTATATATATATTTTTATTTTTTGGTTATGCTGATATCCATTAAATTCGCCCCTCGGAAAGTAAACATTGTTTTTTTTTTTTTTTAATTTGGGCCAAAGCAACGAGTCAAGCCTATTGATTTTGTGTTTTTTACATTTTTAATTGATTTGGTTATTGCATAGCTTTTAACGCAAGTTACAATTAAATATTGTTTCCGTACACATTAATACTATATTTTAAGTTTAAATCACCAAACATCAAAATTATACTTATAGTGGCACACATTTTTCGTTTGCTTGAAAATTTAATAACAACGTGATTGAATAAGTAAATAATTTATAAATTCGTTTGGCCACGACAGGCTTTGTTGGTCCGTGAAAATCAATTCTAGTGGGCGACTACAAATAAATGAACGCCAATACTTTGAATCCAGATGTTGCAGCGGTACAAGGGTCGAGCAATAAAGAGAGCAAGGCAAAGGGTAGATATTATTTTGTATGTTCAAGATATTAATACCAAAACTCCACCAATGGCCGACCCAGTAGGAGGTTTTAGGGTGATTTGACCCAGTTTTTCCTATTTGTGGCCTCACAATATAGAGGAATATAACATCATTATTTCGTGTAATTATTGCAGTGTTAAACTAAAAATAAATAAATACGTTTGTAGACTTTCTGGGCGGATAGCATACGTTTAAAAAAATTAATTTAGATACTTCCTAAGACTCGTTGATTCCACACTGGTTTTTGCAATAGTTGCAACTCAATTGGATTTGCTTAAAAAAATATTGGCAATCGAACAATTTTTCTATTTGTTGTTTAACTTAGAGTAGGTTGCTATTAGGATTTCTTACACTCAGTTTAGTTCTCGAAAAGCACATATTGTTTGTAGTGATGAGAGACAAAGGGTATAAGTGATTTTTATACTATTTTGCAGGATTGAAAAGTGAAAAATATAACTTATATGTGTTCTTATGGGCGATATTCAGAGAGTTTGATAAGACTAATTTTAATTTTTGGCATTGAACCACATAAGGCATTCATGTCAATTTGCGTGGACGTTTTCACGTCATAAAAGTGAAAGGAGACGAAGAGAAGAAAACGAAAGTAAGAGGTGGGTAGAAGTGGGAAGTGAGGAAGGGGACGGATGAGACTCTAAATCAATTGATCATAGGACATAATATTCATGGACTAATGTATTTCCTTCGTGGGAAAGATTGATTACATTTTTGGATTGACTAAAAGACATATTCCTGCCAATCCATTTGCTACTGCAAATGAAGTCTCCTACAGCCTGCCTATGTCTACCACGGTGGTAAGGTCTCGATAATAGTGGTAACACTGAACTCAGTATATGGAATGCCATCAGTAGGAGGCTGTCATTTTGTGTCAACAGTTATTGTTTTGGCCGTGATATTTATTGTTTTTTCTATGATTTAACAAACAGGTGTATCAAAAAGAGTGGTGGGGTTTCAAACGGCTGTAGGTTGTGAAGTATTGCACCTACAGCGCTCTGGTAAGGCTTAAATGAAAGAAGGAGTTGTCAAGTTTCGAATGATTGCCACTAGATGTTTCATAGTCGTGACTGAATTACGCTTCGCGAACTCGATCATTTCTCTCGTGATGACACCATCTCAACAAACTGAACAATGAAGGCTGGCGACATAAACGAGAACGTGGAGAGACGTCTAGTGGCAGTCATTCGAATCTTGACAACTCCTTATTTCATTGAAGACCTACCAGAGCGCTGTAGGTGCAATACTTGACGACCTACAGCCGTTTGAAACCCCGCCATTCTTTTTGAATGACGAAAATCGTGGGTTCGATAAATTTGTATTGTTAAAACTTGCGACACTCACCTGCCATATGGGTCGGAGTTCTTCCAGCGATTGCCTGGACGTACACGAGTAGACCAATATGAAAGCGTGTCCTTTGGATATCGACAACCGCTGCATGGCTGGGAACTGATGTGATCCGGTGGTGTCGGTTATCTGCAGGGTGCATATGTTCTTATTGCAGCTGATCACCTGCCGGTACGTGTCTTCGATGGTGGGTATGTAAGATTCGCGAAATGTCCCTTTGACGAACCTCAGCACCAGCGAGCTCTTGCCCACGCCGCCGGCGCCAAACACCACCACCCGGTAGTCGTTGCTCTGTTCCGGCATACCGGAAACGAATTTATTTAACTATCTGCAAACAAACGGAAGCGCGGGAGTCGTTAAATTGTTGTGCGGGTCAACTACATAGTGTTTTTAAAAATGTCAATCACGAGCAGCCGCGTATCCGGGACCTTTTTATGGGGGGGGGGGGTTTAACAAATTTAATCGACCTGAGTTCTAAACCGTGTAATAAGCAAAAAAAAAAGAAAGAGGTACAAGTTAGTATAAGACAGTCTGAGTTAAAATAGTTGTTGCATTTTCTTTTATTCTTAGCCAGTTGATCAAACACTTATTCGTGGTCAATTTCAATTTTTCTATGAATATTCATCTGAGCTAATCCATTTAAACGGTTTTCAGACATGGCATTTCCCAGATAGGTTTTTAAACCGTCGATAATGACCTTTCTGCAGTAGCTGTTGTAATAGGTAAAGTTGTGGTGATTTTTAAAAGTTTATAGACATATTTTGGAAAGTCGTTTTCATTACAATTATTTAGCAATTCTAATACATTTGATGGAATTTTAGACGTACATTTTTGAGAGTAGTCCACCATAGTTTAAGTTCTGCGATTACTACTAAAGGGGAAAAATATGGTAATAATTGAGAATATTTATGAACTAAATAACTAATTTTCAAATATATCAAATTTAATATTATAAAAATGTTTAAGAAATACCTGTGTTTGGGTTAACAAATAACCAATTAAGAAAAAGAATATTTAAAAAAAAAAAAGTCTAACATATTTTAAGTTATCGACGGATACAATGTAATACATTTTTAAATAGTTTTTACTAAATGTTACCTTTATGTTAAACAAATTACATGTTAACTAGTGTGCAGCTGAATGTTGATATTTTTATTCATCTATGTGCAATTGAGTGTTGATCGTTTTTAAAAGAAAAATCATTAACATTTTTAAATAATAATCGTCGGTGCTTAGAAAAACTATTTTTCCAAAAAAGCCGATTTAAACGGTAAAAGCCGTTCAACATATTGGCAAAAAAAAAAAACAGAATGATGTTATAATATATAAAAAAGTAAAACTGTGACTGATCAAGAGTGTTTCTGTTGACAGTGTATAATAGTATTTAGTTTCCGACAAAACTCGATAAGAAAACAGCGATTACAGCCTATGACGACATAACGTTATCGGCCAGTTGCAACTTTTTTTTAGTTTAAAAAATAACCACTGAATCGTTATAAATACAGATTATCCTTTTATATTGTGGATATTTTAACAACGCGTTTGGGTAAGCGTTACTTTTTTTACTTTCAAAACTTAATATGGAACCGTGCACGATGATATTACCACCCACTTGCTCGCTTTTGGGATGTACGACAAACGAGCATATTGTCTGCTGTCAGGTTGGCTACGACCTTGGATACTCTAAGGGCGAACGCCAATAATAATTGATGCCAGAAAAGTGAACAATAGAGCCAATGTTTGGAGTGAAGCAATCAATATAGAACGGGCAAAAACAATTTAAGTATACATGGGTTTTATGGTCTTGGTGGCAAGGAGCCAAGAGGGCATTGCCAGAGACGTAGTTTTGTCGGAGGCATTCATATGAGTGCATTCAGATTGGACTGGGAAATTATTGTATAAAACTGCAATAAGACAAGCAATAATTTTCAGAAAGGAAATGTCGAGCATTGAATAAGAGAGAAACGAAAAGGCAGAAAGAAGTAAGTTAAGGTCTACCGCCAGATAACGCTTTATTCTAATGTGCATTAGGTGAAAATTACTTGCCAGACAAAGACACAAGTATAGTCGGTTTCAAAGGGAATATAGAAAAGTTGCTACTGCTTGAAAATATATTTTTTAAATCATCCCTACCCCGGTGGCAAATTAAAAACTCGACAGGGAGTACTTAGTTGGAACACATTTAACATTTGATCCCCATTGTTTACTGATGATTAAAATATGGTGTTTCACCAAAATTATCCTTTAGCCGACATTGCTGTCATATTATTCCTGTCGCTTTTTTCAAGAGACATGCCACTATAATAGAAGCGACCTTGAAAGGGACAAGCCAGAGGTATGAGACAATTGCTTGCAATTGATTTTTTTGTTTTACTTTTGTTATTGGAGCATATCAATGATTGTGATTGACACATCTTGTTGAACCGAATACACCCTAAATGAAAAATGTTTGAGACGTGCCAAAAATAATGGTAAAGATGTACCATTTTCGACGAAACGATATGATTGAGATGATCTAATGAGGGAGAAAAGTGACATAGTAGATGAGATTAAGTAGGCGTTTGTAGGTAGAAGTGGATGGATATGGCTATAATTGTTAAGCCTAAAATATAATGTACATCTTATGGCTGGTTTATTTATTTTTCTGTCATCTCAAAGTACAAACTAGTTTTCAGATTGGCTGTATTCAGTGCTACTTTTTCGATTAAGCCTATTAAAATGTAATGTACATCTAGTGTTCGGTATAGCAATTTATCGTTGAGTGCATTTCTCAAGGTTTAGAAGGGCATTCAGGTCAAGTGTTTTAAATAATATCCAATCTTAAAGTAAAAAACTAGTTTTCGGATTGACTGTGTTCAGTAGTACTTAAGCTAGGTACCTAAGCCACCGAGAAATAATGTTCATGTTTCTTTGAAAATGTCTGCCACGTCTTTTGGATATTTTTCCAGTCTTTGTGGTCGTGGCACTGGCAGAAATATTATTTGCAAGTAATTGTGTATACCTACGTGGGTCGATACAGATTTGGCCGACGTGGTTGTGCTGTTTGGGTCAACGATCGCCATACCAATGTTTGCATATTATACCTATGTGTAGGTCAGGCAATTTGATCCTAATCCACCCCAATATGAAAACCTAGTTCTGCTTATGATTACACTGAAGGGTGTAGGCTTTTGAAAATCGGTCGCCTCTTATAAACAAATATACCGTTAACCCGGCAAAATTAATTATAAGTAAACGCTACCCTCAATTTATTTCAAACAAAAGAGATTTGCCCTTCTGGGAAAATCTAAATATAATATTACAGTCATAAACATTTTCCACCACGATTGGCTGTTGCTGTCAAAGTCATATAAAAAGACCTTTCGTTCGTGCTTAGCCTTCTCTACAGGGTGATCCACTTTTCATACACAACCTAACAACTCACCAGTCATAACTGTTCCATAAGTCATCCACTTAAACCGCGAAGCTGATTAAGCCTAGCATTGTTAAAAATATTTTATATTCATGAAATGCAGTGTTATAAAAATCAATCATTGATTGTTTTTATTTTACTGTTTTTTTTTTTTTTTAACAACGTGGTGTATCCAATAACAAAATTGTTTTTTAAGCGTTACAAATTTAACTTCATTCGGTAGTGAATTCAATATTATATAAAGAACATCAACATTCGGGCGTTTGTTTTTTTTTTTTTTTGGCAGTGTTGTTATTTATATTAATGTGTATTCCTGTTAGTGTTTTTTTTTAACTACCGCTTTGTAGTCATTCATATTTTATTTAGAGAAAAAAAAATGGCTTTGTTGTAAATAATTAATGCCGTGGCGTTTTGTTTTACTAAAGTGCAATATCGGTTACTCGAATTACTGCGAAAACGTTATAAAACTTTTGACGTTACTTTTTACAACCCATCTTAAACGTCTTACTGCCATGCTATTTGTACTATTTGAATAAAACATAAACGTTTTTGTAAGATTGGATATTATTTAAAACACTTAACCTGAATGCCCTTCTAAACCTTGAGAAATGCACTCAACGATAAATTGCTATACCGAATACTAGATGTACATTACATTTTAATAGGCTTAATCGAAAAAGTAGTACTGAATACAGCCAATCTGAAAACTAGTTTGTACTTTGAGATGACAGAAAAATAAATAAACCAGCCATAAGATGTACATTATATTTTAGGCTTAATAATTATAGCCATATCCATCCACTTCTACCTACAAACGCCTACTTAATCTCATCTACTATGTCACTTTTCTCCCTCATTAGATCATCTCAATCATATCTTTGGGTCGTTTTGCAGAAAATGGTACATCTTTTACCAAGTCTTCACCATTACTTTTGGCATGTCTCAAACATTTTTCATTTAGGGTGTATTCGGTTCAACAAAAAATCAATTGTAAGCAATTTTCTCATATCTTTCTAGCTTGTCCCTAAGTTTAAGGCTGATCCTTTCAATGCCACTCCTGATATAGTGATATCAGATATGTCTCTTGAAAAAAGCGACAGGAATAATATGGCAGCAATGTCTGTTAAGGATGATTTTGGAGAAATTTACCATATTTTAATCATCAGTAATTAATGGGGATCAAATGTTAAGTGTGTTCCATAATCTAATTACAGTTTCAATGGAAATTGAGAGGAAGAGGATGATTGACAATAGTCATCAAGCTAAACTTTTTTGTAAAATTTCTATACTGAAAGTGGTGAATTTTCGCACCCAAATGGAATGAATCAAATTTTTATTTTGGGCCTAGTTAAACTCTATTGACTGGATAACGCCCTATAAAGTACTTTATCTTATATTTAAGTTACTACATTAGTATGACCAGTTAGAACAATTAATGGTAACACACTATTCATTTTGTCAATGTGGTATGGGCTAATATTGACTGCTTTGAAGCACCTTGCAATTGCATCTTCAACTGCACGGACCGATGAAATGCTTAAAGTCCAGCTCGGATAGTTGTTTTTAAACTAATTTATAATTTAACGGTTCCCTCGACTCCTACTCCTTTTTTACTGCATTTCTGATAAAGAAGTTCTTCTTTTTTTATTATTCATCTCTTCGTATCAGTCTGTTTTTCTGCAAAGACAGTTAAGTCTAATTGATGACTGGTCATCCAAATGGAGAATTATATTTAACCGTGATTAATGTTACTACTTGCCTATTATGCCTTGTAGCATAGACTGTAAGTATTGTTTAAATAATAATAAAACAATTTTTATGTATAATTTTAATCGATTTAGGCGTACAACAATACATTTTTTTGTTCTATACCTAAATCGGTTTTGTGTGAACAAACGTTGTTGGATAAAATTAATAATCTAATAAGTGTATATTTTTAATCGAATAAATACACACATTTATATGGCAAAACGACAAAAACTCTCAAATAATAGAGCCGACGGCCAAATGCAATTTCATCACCCCAGTGCATCGGGTGTGGATGCATTTTTCGTGCGACAACGGATTTCGGGTGTAGCCCAGCAGAGCGGGCACTCCGCGGTCGACCGGGACCGCCGTTAACGGTTCGTCACCGGTAAGCGGATTACGGTATCAATAATAATAATAATAATAATAACCACAACTATTAATCGACACCCGTGTGTACCTGACAAGTCGTAACGACGGTGCGGCTTCTTCTTTAGGACACGGTGCGTTCGCGCTGGTGCGGTTGCGGGTGCAGCGCGGTGGCCGCCACGTCCATTTATAGTGCCGCCGTCCGGGATGCACTCGGGTGTACCGCCGTGTTCAGTCAATCACACACACACACACACTGTCGCACACTGTCGCACACACGACACGACCGGTTAGCGGCGGTAACGGTGAGACGATGGTCCGTGTACGTTTTTCGAGTGTGTGTCGTCGAACCAGCGCGCGTCCACCGTTGTCGTCGTCCGTCTGCGGCGGATTTTTCGGGTGTTATTTTTGCCGTTTACCCGTCGCCATTGCGTGTGCGTGATCCGACCCACCCCCCCACCACCCCGCGACGCCGCGCGCCAAACGGGGGGCCCGCGGTGCGGTTGATCAATACAAAGACGTTGGCGTACCCGAACGGTGGGCGGGGGGGGGAGGGGGGCGTCACCCCTCCGCGCCAACCCTCCAACACCCCGCCCCGCTCCGCCGTTACCGGGTAGATGTGTGTACAGGGCGGTTGCGGCGACCGGAGGTCGCGATCGAGCAACTTAAACGGACGAAACGAACGTTGATACTTTTTTTTTCCCGTCGAAGCTAATGGATACAAATAGTTTTATTCTGCGATGTACGTTTTCTGGAGTCGTGCCATCGCCGGTGCCCGACAAACTTCGGGCCGCCGATTGAATCGCCCTGTATGCGGTGTCATCGCTCACCCCCCCCCCGGGTTCAACCGAACCGCCCGGCGCGCGTGGGGCGGGTGTGCGTGTATGTGTTGTTAGGGTAGTGATGCGGCGGCAACGATGACGTCACGGTCGTTTTGCGTACGTGGCGCCGCCGTTGACCGACTCCGCGAGATCGGTTAAACCGCGTAACTCATCAATGAGATGAGGAGGCGACGATAGAGCGTAAAAAAAAAAAAAAAAAAGGCCCACACACACACTTTGCGCCCCTCACGTGACGCAGAAACCACCACCACCCTTCGCTTCGCCCCGTCGGTACGCCAACGCACGCGGCTGTTAAGTCGTCATCAACACATAATGCACGGACATGTGTGTGGGCGCATCACAAAATGTGATAAAGCAATTTGTGATATTTTGGAAAACCTCATTTGATGTTATGTTTTTTCACCCTGCTCAACGACGTGCACGTTGCACAAGGAACGGTTTACAGCAAAGGCCACTCTAAATAAGCGTGCACAAAAATATTGACAGTGTTTTTCTTTACAGTGTGGCTTATTGACAATATGGAATTATGAATATTATCAACAGTGGGATTTTGTGTAGAGTCATAATTTAGCTTTAAGAATCACATTTGTAAACATTTCTGATTAGTTTGGGATTATTGTCTTTTTAAATTTTCAACAAAACGTGCCCCCCCCCCCCCATCCAGGTAATAAGTTAATTAGGTGCACCTTTCCGCACACTGGCTGAAACTGTGTTCGAGTCAATAACCTTGGTAGTGGACAGAGCTGACACACGCATATGAATTACCTTTATTAAAGGTTCGGACATTGACATCAAAACAACACAAACACACATGTGTTAACCTATCACAATGAAAAAAAAACACCAATTATTCTCAGCTACACACGTCAAAGCCTAACCCTTTTGAGTACCAAGTTTGCCTATTCGAAACGCCGTGTTGTGGAAACGCAAGTTTTCTGTGTAAATCATTTTTGCTTTTCTCGTTAAACAAGTAATTACAAGTTCATTAGTTAAACTCTACTGACGAGTGGGCCGTGGATCCACAAGTGGGCGTGCAATTTATTAAATTATTTATAAAGACATTAAACTCGGCGTAATTTGTCTTGAACTTGTGTATATATTTTATTAAACAGCTAAATAAATTGTTTAATACCCGCCGCTATTATGATAGTGAATTGTCCGCAAACAAAACTGTTTGCCAGCACGAGGTAACATCAATAACGTGTAGGTAGAAAGCAATGTTTAGTTAACACACAAAAACAAATGCCTCACAAAGTACATTTCTTGTATTTCTAATATATTTATTGATTTTGTCGTTGTGTGTATTAAAATTATTGTACATTTGTTGAGCCATAATATTGTTCAATAAAGGCTAATAAAAATGTATACATATTTCGCTTTAATGTCTATTTTATTATTTTGTAACTAAACAGATTGCCTTTTATAATTATTGTCATTATGATTGTAATAAAACGGGAGGGATATAATTAACTTATAAATAACTTTTCTGACTAATCATGACCTTTTGTGTGGTAAAAAAAACAGTTTTAATGGGTTTTTTTAGTCATGAATATAATATACATTATGAATCATTCAGAAAATGAAAATTGATGTCGATGAACCCTACGGTGATATAAACTTTATTGTTGCAATTTCAACAGTGGTTTTCAACATCAAAACATTAAGTGTTATGGTGTTTTTGGGTGAATCGTAAAACCTTCAATAAAACTTACTTGTTTTCAAGTTTTTATCGATAAAACACATAAAAATGAATTGCCAACAAAATAATTATTAATATGCCACTTTGTTGTTGGATAGCGTTTAAAATTGAACTCACAAGTTCTTTAAAACGTTCCGATTGTATTGGACTTTGGCCATTATTTCAAATACTAAACTTGAGTGGAAATTGAATTATTTAGTTAGTAAAACGTTTCTTTATTTATATTTGATCATGAACATGTCGGTTCTCTTATCAATAATCTTTTATCAGCTGATTCTCTTATCAATAATATCTTATCAGTTATTTAGGAGTTAGTTATCGATTTCTCCTTCCCATCCCTTTCTTTTTTGCAACACATAAGCGAAATGCACTTTATTGACAAATCCAAGCCATATTAGGTTAAGTTAGGTAAGTTGGGTTAGCAAATTCATTAGACTATAAACAATTTTTTTTACTTACTTTGATTTTTTTCTTTTTAAGCTCAACTTCAATGGGTTGTAACTTGTTTATGTTAAAATATCTAAATATCTAATCTATAGATTTTGATGCGTTAAGAATCTTTTTTTTTTTAATTTTAAAAGTTTTGATCGGTTTCCAAGTAAGAATTGTTTTAATGACAAATTAAAATTTTTCATTTGATCAAATTCAAAAAAAAAAGGCCACGAGAAAGTGCTTAGAAATGAGCTTAGGGTCTGAAATTTTAGGGCTGTGATTTGCACAAATTGAAAATTCCTTATTTTTTCAACTCTTATGAACTTAAGATTTTTAGTTATATAAGTAACTATTATAAGTTATTTTAGTATTATTAGCTATTTTACTATTATAAGTAACTGCTCAAAATCGGTTATCGACCAGTCGACGTTTTCAGGAAATTATTCTCAAAACAATAAAATATATTCAACTTTAAAAATCTCAAGTTCATATAAGGTTTTAACCACATAAGGGAAACCTAACTTCTAAAAACTATTCCAATAATAAATTCGTGGGTGCGCGTTAAGTCAACATTTTGTGCAAAATGAGTTATATACACCGAAAAATTCAGAAAAAAAAACTCTATGATTTGTGCTTTATAGTTTAAGTCTAAGTGTAATATTCAATGAATAATAAAGAAGTGTTTGTTGAGTTAAGTCACTATTTTTCTCATTTTAGTGTATTTTGTGATAAGTCGACTTAAATCTTTTTGAATTTACAATTTGATAGTGTAACAAGAGTTACAAGAGTCCTTTGTTATACTGACTTAAATCTTTTTGAACCACTTGTTTAGGTATAAAAGGGTTATGTCTATTTTCCCGACATATTAAATTATGATATCAAGAGTGTTGTACTCACAACACATTAATCAATATCATTAAAATACGTATCCAGTTATGGTTGAAGATGATGTCGAAATGGATGAACAATATCTAGTTCAAGAAATACCAATTCAAAAAAATGTTGAGCCGAATCAAAAAGCTACAGTCTCTAGTAAAATATCTAGAAAAGCTAAAAATGACAAAAATAAACAAATAAAACGTGCCTAAAATAAAAAGTTTTTATTTTGCTACAATAATTATTAGTGTTAAAATGTATAAGGATGTCATATTAAAAGAATAAAATAATAAGTATTATTATTATTAAAATGACTTAACCCTTTTATTAAAAAAACAAATGAGTGAATTCAACTCAATAAGATTTAAGTCAATTTTTTTTTTTTAAACTTATAACAGTTACTTTGATATACGTTTTTATAAATTCTAATTTATACAGGAAAGTACAAAACAAGTTGTTTTATTATCCTATTCCAAAAACATTTATTTTATTCGAATACCTGATCTTACATATTCTTCTAAACCTTATTTTCCATTTCCTTAAAATTTTAAATTGGTCGACCTAAACCCTTTTTTACGCGCACCCGCGAATTAAGTGTAAGCCAACTATTAGCTACAAAAAGTATACAATTTAATATGTCTAATATTATCTAAGACAGTGACCCGGTTAATAAATTAAGTTAACCATTCGCTCTGTATAGAACTACTAAGGGGTTTTTTTTTCCATCAGAAAGTCACCGCACCCACACAATATAAACGTTAGGTCGTGTAACGATTCGCAAAGCTGTTAAACTCACTCTGGAACGTCACAATCCGTTTAAGCGGTGTTTTGTGGTTTTAACGTTTAAAAAAAACACACACACACACTCATTTATCTCCCACGACACGTTTGCTTCGGGTAAATAAAAATAAAAAACAATAATAATAATAATAATTACACACATTTTTTCCGTTCGGTTTGGACGAGTGGCGTTTGTTTTTCCAAATGTGTGTGTATGCATGTCGAACCGTCGCCTTATGGTTGTCAGTCATGCCAAAGAAAAGGATGGACGGATTGAAGACAGCCAGACAGTCTGACGACGATTCCTTGGGCTAGTGGCAGAGGCAAACCGGGACCACCCGGCCTGTGTGTGATTATATTATTATTATTATTTCAACGCATTTTTGTTTGTTTTTTAGTTTCATCGAAAGGATATTGGTTTTTAAAAAAAAAACGATGGGTTGTTTTCCTATTTGTGTCTGGCACATATCTTGAACAACCGCTTAACCGACCGATAAAAGCTACTCTATTATTAAGGCGACCGTTTCGACAAATCTCACCCCTTGCTCTACAATCTAAACAACAACAAAATTTTTACATTATTTTCCAACTTAAGGCTACGACGCGTTTGGCTTTTTTTTTTTTTTTAAATATACTAATTAGTATGGAAAATTCTTTAGGTCCGAAATTACAGCAAAATGGCTTTTCGGTCGTAGAAAAAATGATTTTAATTAAAAATAATACCTCGAAGCCTGTACGAATTAATCTG